GCAAGGCTCTGGAAGGTAAAGAGAGTTGCTTGAGCTGGATTTAAACTGGGTCATGTGACCCTCTCCCCTGGGCCCTGTGCTTGTTGCTCTCGGTCAGAATCCTTGGCATCCCAGCAGGCCCTCACTAACGCCAGCCTTCTCTTCTCTCAGCTCCGTAATCCATGACCCTGTTTGCTGTGACATCTTTATTGTTTCCTGGTGGGATCAGACCTGCCCTCTCATCTCTTTCTGGGAGTGTGCTTATCTGACCTTTGGAAGCCTTAAGCTGGCCTGTGAGCCACTATGACCCTCAGCATTTTCTTCTACTATATGTACCTACAACCAGGGTTTTCCTGTCTTATATTTGCCTTCCTGCCTCCCTTCTGGATAACTTTAATCAGTTGAATTGATTGTGATAAAATGTAAAGCCAAACAGCGTTGCTCTGGATTGCGCTTACCTATTTGAAAGGCCGGGATTCCTCCACCACTTGCTTCTTTTCATGTGTCTTTGGGCAGATCTAGTGAGGATGATTGACCGTGTGCGACATAAACGCAGTGTAGCCATGAGTCATCACGTTTTCTCCCCTCCTGCCTTCCTCCTCCACCAGAGACCTTGCTCTCCTTGCATGCGAACCTGTCCGCTTGGGTTGTCCTACTCGTGGTCGGCAAACCGTGGCTCGTGAGCCACGTGCGGCTCTTTGGCCCCTTCAGTGTGGCTCTTCCACAAAATACCACGTGCGGGCACGCACGTACAGTGCGATTGAAACTTCGTGGCCCATGCGCAGAAGTCAGTATTTTGTGGAAGAGCCGGTATTTTGTGGAAAAGCCACACTCAAGGGGCCAAAGAGCCACATGTGGTTTGCGAGTCGCGGTTTGCCGAGCCGCAGTTTGCCGACCACTGTAGCCTATTTCCCTGGTTTTGGTAACCATTCTCGGTTGTGCTGGGGTAAAGTCGTTACCATGGATTACTGCTTCTATCAAGCCCTGCCTACTTTCTCTGAGCAGCCTAGGTTTTACTGAGCATTTACTCAGCCAGCATTTACTGAGCATCTACTAGGCTGGAGTATGTGGTGCTTCTACAGTGAATGTGTATCGTTTTGATGTTGCGATAGTAGTAGCTGGGGAAACGGTTGACTGCTATCTTTTGCTCTCTTACTGCTTGGCAGTGAATTTTAGGATGTTTTTCAATGCTTCATTGTCAGAAGTTGTCAGTGTCAGAAGTGTTTTTAAGAAGTTGTTTTTTAAAGGCTATCTTTTCCAAGCTAACCTCTTGATTTTTCCCCAAAGTAAAGACTACTTGTTGGCAAGTTTCCTATTTGAGGAGGAACTAACACACAGGCCTCTAGACAGGCAGCTGGTGTCACCTGGGGCTTTCATGACCAGGGTATTAGTCCCAGAGCCAGCGAGCCAGCTGTGCCCAGATGGCTTGGGATGGTTAGCACCTTTGCCAGGTCTTCTAGGGCTCAGATGAATTAGGCATCAAATATATGCTGAGCCCATAGCTACATTGTGCCCCATTTGGGGGTAGCACTCACAAGCTCTGAGACTTAGAACAAGTTACATAACCTCTCTGCCTCAGTTTCCTCACCTGTAAAATGGGCATAACAGTAGTATCTGCTTGATGAGGTTGTTGTGGTAAATGAATTAATACATGCAAATTGCTTAGAAGAGTGCCTGGCATAGAATAAGTGCTCGGTAACAGCTACTTGGAAAACCAAAGCATATACCTGTTCCATCCAGAACATAGCCTCTACCCACATGTGGCCATGGAGCACTCGAACTATGGCTAGTCCAAATTGAGCTGCGCCGTCCGTGTAAGATTGCTATGAAAAAAGAATGTGAAATAGCTCACTAACCATTTTAAAAATACTGATTACACGTTGAAATGATATTATTTTGGATAGACTGGTTTAAATAAAAAATATGTTGTTAAAATTAAATCTACCTGTTTATTTTTACTTGTTTAAATGTTGCTACTAGAAAATTTAAAATTACACATGCGGCTCACATTACATTTCTACTGGACCCTACTGGTCCAGAGCAATAACACGTAGCCGGCAGTGATTGTCAGAATCTTGAGCTTCAGTGTGAGAAGGGCCAGTGTGGAACCCGTGCTGCAGAGGCAGCTGTGAGCCCGCCTGACGTCGGAGGCCAGGGGAGGGGGAAATGGGGCTCTGGTGATGGGCAGAGGCTGGGGAGGAGGAGCTGGCTGGGCCTGCAGGCTGCCTCCTTCCCAGGGCAGCAAGGAGGAATCCGGGGACCTGGGCACAAAGGGGTGGCAACAGGTCAGCAAGCTCCTGAATGATGTACAATAAGGCCAGACCACCCCACGACCTGCCCCAGGCTAGCACGGCCCTTCCAGTCCCCCACTGTCCCACGGACAGGGCCCTGCTCCCACTCAGGTCCCCACATTTGCTCATCTGCATCCCCTTTCCAGGTCTCTGGCTTGATTTGCAACCTTGTTTTCCAAAGGCGGGCCTGCCTCCCGGCTCCCTCCCCCAGCCCCCGGGGGGTTGCTTCAGTCTCCATTACCAAACCCTGTGACAAGAAATGCAGCCCCCTTATTAAAATAATGTAATGTCTAACTAAAATAGAAACCCCAGATAACAGTTTTTGATGTTTTAATGACTGGGCTCATTAGACAGACTTCCCACTTAAAGTGTCTGTCTAGCAATTAAGGCTAAAAAATCATAAATGATGACCACACCTTCTGTGGCTTAATGGTTACTCTGAAGGCTGGTCTTATTATCTCGGTGATACAGTCTGTGATAAAAAAGAATTTAAGATACTCTCCCAAGATTTATTTCCCCATTAGCAAGCTGGAGGAGGAAGGTTAAGAGTACTCTTAAGGTCAGAAAGAGAGAGGGAAGGGAGAGGGTGAATAATAAGACGCCTAGAATTTCCCTCCCGCAGAACCAGCCCCACGGGGAGGCCCGCACTCCGAGGGGTTTAACTTCTGCCTGTCACAGGGAAGTCTGTGAATTGTTACTCCAAGTGACCCCAAGCAGTTTATTTAGTTAATTGTCAAGCACGCGGGCTGAACTGTAGAATCGCACTGCCTCCAAGAAAATTATTTGCCGTCCTAATGTGCTGACGACGGAGGAAAAGTAAAAGGGAGCGTTTGATGGGAAAAGCCTGGGAGAGTGCGTCCAACTCCCCCGAGAACGTCTAGAATGAGGGGTTGCTGATGGGAGCGAAGGGAAGCGCAACCAATAGCTTGCTGTCGCCAAAGAGATGGGGGCGCGAGTGCCCCATCCCACCAGTGACTCTGGGCTTGGGCTTCGGAGGAGGAACCTGAGAAGGCGGCCCGCAGTGGCTTAAAGGAGACACACACTCGTGTTCAGGAGGAAGTAGGGAAGGGGGGCACCTTTAGCCTTTTATTAGGCCTGTCTTAAGTGATGAATGATATTTGGACAACTGAGGCCATTAACAGGGCCCTTGTACTTGTCCTGGTGGGAGGGGACCCGCTGCCAGCTGTCTGAGATTGGAGGGTGATAACCAAGCTGCTGCTGC